GCCGCCACGTGGCGTCGTCGTTGGTGAACACCGCTGGCAGCTCCGCGCCCAGTGCCGTACGAGCTGCCCCCGTCAGCGTGGCGGCATCCAGGAGGAGGTCAGGTGCCCGCGAGGCCGCCTCCGTCGGCGGGGATCAGGCGGCCCTCCGCATCGCAATTGCCGTTCTGCGGCGGGAGGGTAGGGTAGGGGCGGGGGGCCGTCCAGGTGGTCGCCATTGCGGTAGGGAATGCCGGGGGGGTGTCCCAGTAGGGGCGGGCGGGGGGAAGGGGTGCGAGCGGGTACGCGGTGCCGCCTTTTGGGGAGTTTGTCTGCACTGTCTGTCTGCACCAGCCTGCATGGCTACCGCTCCTGCCTAACCGCCGCGCGCGTACCGAATTGGGGCGTAGCATGTGAGAGACACATACATACACACGTGCACACGCGCACACGCAAAGAGTCTGACATGCAAGCACACGTACACTGCCGTACCTCCACGTATATCCCCGCGCGGGTCCTCAGCACGTCTAGCGGGCGGTAGCTGTTCCCCGACACGCTGTTCTCCACAGCGGGTATCAGCACCAGCAGCCGGACGCGGAGCCGGCAGCTCATGACCAGGTGAGCCAGGGCCAGGACCAGCGCCGCACCGCCCATATCCTGCGGGGGGCCCGGAGTCCGGGGGGCGGCGGGAGGGCGAATCATAGACGAGTGGGGGGGAGATTACATGATATCAGATCTCCCCTGGAGGAGGGTGCTGACGCCCCAGGTACATGGAGGTGCAGGAGCTCCACACAGTTGAGGTAGGTGCTTGTGGGTGTGGGGGTGTGGGGTGGGGGTGTGGGGTGGGGGTGTGTGGGGTGGGGGTGCGGGGTGGGGTGTGTGGGGTGTGTGGGGTGTGGGGTGTGTGGGGTGTGGGGTGTGTGGGGTGTGGGGTGTGTGGGGTGTGGGGAGGACGAAGCGGTGAGAGGGGAGGGGAGGGAAGGCGGGAAAGAGGTGGGGGGGAGGGGGCGAGGGCGGGGGCGGGGGCAAGGGCGGGGGGATCAGAAGCAATCAAGCAATTGCCGACACACGTCCGTAGCCGCACCAGGCGGCTAGGGGGAGCGGAGGT